AGCGGGTGGGCCTCGCCGCCGGTCCGAGCCCTGCGGGAGGGTAAGTCTAGGGCTGCCCCGCGGTGCCCCGTCCCCCTGTGCTAGCTCACCGCCGTCGGGAGGGACGGTTGTGTTCACCGTGTTTCGCCCTTCCCCCTAAAAATGCTGTTTCTTTTAAGGTGAATGAGTGTCATTTTGTCTTTCCATTTCTTTTTTTTGCAGTTGTGGAGGTCACTGAAGGGAACACGACCACAGTAAGTCCCTGCACCCCTTTTCCTCAGCGGCTGCCCTTGCCGTTGCTTCTCGTTCCTTCCACCTCCCCTTGCGTGTGTGTGTCCGTGTCTGCGCACACCCCCTTCCCCCTCACCCACCTCGGAAAACGCAAAGGGCAAAAATAAAGGGTCCGTTTTGTGCCTGAGAGTAGGAGTGTGTTATGAATGCAGGTAAGGGATGGAGGGCTTGGCTGCTGAAGATTGGGATCATCACCCTGTTGCTGATGGCAGCTGGCTCCAGTTAGAGCCACCCATGAGGGCTGAGCCCTCCAGCACACCCATGGTGATGTTGGAGACCTTGATCAGAGGCATTTGGGACCCAAAACACAAGAGGCAGTTTTTCAGATGGGTTTGTTTCTTAGAGTAGTGATACTTGGCATCATCTTGAGTGTGGGAGGGCATGAAGGAGGTTAGCCTGGTGGCCTTGTCACTTCATCCTGTGCCAGCAACACATTGTGGCATCACAGGATGTCTCTGTGCTGGCTGCATCCATGTAGAGGTCACAGCTTGTAGCACACTTGGTAAGAAAGAGTTTTCAGTGAAAGGGTTACTGTCAAAGGAAAACCTTAAATATGAAGGGAAAACTGCTCCTGAAAAGAAAACAGAAGTTCTGAAGTAACTGATAAAGAAGAGCATTTTCTCAGCTATGGCTTAAGACGGGAAGGAAAATATCAAAGCAATAGAATTAGAACTTCACTTAATTAGCACCACCTGAGAATTGTCTTCTTTTTTTTTTGAAGAAGCACTGAAATCACTGGGTGGGTTGAGGAAATTGCATTATTCTGCTCACATTGCATGTGTCAGTAATTACACATGCCAGTAGCACTCTAAGCCCAGCTAGCACAGATATTTTGAAATATATGGATATGATGAGGAGGGTGGAGTGGGATTTATTTGGGACTAGCTGGAAAACACTGTACCACAGTACCTCAACATACATAAATAATGAGAAAGGGACACACTTTTTTGCTGCTAATGAATCAAGACAAAACTTGGTTGTTTGTACCTTTGAAAGTCTGAGTTTTCATCTTGTCCTGCTTGTATTAATGGACACTGTCATGGTTGAAACCTGAATGGAGAAGGTTATTTATTTTGCATGCATGATATCAAATAGAAAATGGCAGTTAGAAAGATCTCTAAGACCATCAACAAAAATAAGTTTAAGGCATGACAGTAGTTGTGGTGGAAAGTCTCTTTTTCTTCTAGTCAAGTGCTAGGCTAGTAATCTTTGCCCAGGCACCAGAAGAGCTTGCAAGCATGCCCTGAAGTTTCTCTAACCAAAAAAATGGAGGAGTTTGCACACCAAGGCAACGCACACAGTAGGTTGCTGTGCTTTGTGTTCAGTCAGTTACAAAGGGGGTGTAAATTATAATCATGAAGCCCCAATACATTAACTGAGGCTTGAAGTAAAAAAGGTATGCATTGCAGTAGCAGAGCCCAGTAGAAAAATAATTCTTCCTGGCCCACTGTGGAGCATAAGGGAGATTATATTCAGTATATCCTCTTGTCACTCTGTTCATGCTGCTAACTTTGTTGGTCTTTTCTGAATCCATCTCTCTGTGTCCTTGCTTTTATCAGTATTGAAGGAAGAGTTTGATATGAACTGGAAAAATGAAGCCTAAAGAAATCTGGATTTCATCAACATACTGTGAATATAGAGCTCCTATATTCCCCTCTTAGTTCTCTAACAGAAGAATAATAATAACTGGGTGGGTTAACAATATTGAAAGTCCTCAGTAGCTGCAGAATAATTGCCAAAAACTGTATGCTGAAACTTATCTCAAGAAAAATTGATACTGATGTAGCCTTTTGAATCGTTATTTATTTCCAAGATGAGATTACAGTCAAAGTGCAGTCTGAAGCCAGACTGGCAAGAATCAAGACCAGATACACAGGCTTCCCAGAAAATAACTTTACTGATGAATAGAAAATTAGATACTGGCCTGTATTTTATATTTATAGTGACTTTTTGTTTTCTAAAATTGGCTGTTCTATTTGTGGGGGGCAGGATCTTACTTAAAAATTGACAGTGTTCTCTCTCTTTGAGGTACCAAGATGCTTGAACTATAAATAACTTACTGTTTCCATTTTGCCATCACTAGACAAGAAATCCACGGTATAAAATAGTTCTGACAGTTCAGCTGGTTGCCCCCATGTCCCATGCACACTTGCAGAAAATGTCATGCTTTTCTCTTCCATGGTCCTCAGGCACAGAACCTGACAGTTCAGTCTAAGTCAGCTTTTTTTTCTTAAAAGTAACATTGCATTCCACTCCACTTAGGGTTTCTTTATAAGCTCTGTAGTGCTTGCAGTATTTGAGGCTGTCAGCTGATGTTTAAAATCTGGTTTCAATCTTAATTTGACCAGAGGAAATTTCCAAAATATTTTGGAGGGGAAAAAAAAGGCTTAGTTTTGTTGTCTTTTTCTGTCTATTCAGCTGAAATTGGAGATAGCTTGTGCTTCTGTTCATAAGTCCTCAAAAAAAGAGGCAAGTGAACATGCAGTTACACTTCATATCCTGAAAATACCTACGTTTAGACAAATTTCTCAGTTTCTTCTTACACACACCTTCTACATCTCTTTGCATGTTATTTCTGAGAAAATTTGAGTGTTAGATATCACCACTTTGTTAAAAAAAAAAATTGTTCAGGGAATTAAACTGGACAAAATAATGGTGTATTTGAAGGGGGGAGGGGGTTGTGAACAGCTCCCCACAAACTTGCAGACATGTCCTAACAGTCCTTTCTTAAATTTAACTTTTGCTCAGAATTTTCTCTGGTGGTGGTTTGTAATCTAGCAAGGCCCTGCATGTTTTCATCCACAATGTGCATCTGCTATTCTGTGACATTCTTATACTCCCAGAAAAAAAAAAAACATGTTTTAAAGCTTTTAGCTAAAGGGCCACTACAATTTCAGGGCATGGTGGTTCAAAGGAGTACTGCTATAAATGGAATTCAGGTGGATATGAGAACTTTACACTGACTGTGAACTAACTTACATTTAGTAAAAGATATACAAGGATTTACCAAATGCTTCTCAGTGCCCTTTGAATTTGTTTTTCTCCCCATAGTCTGTGTATATCCAAAGTGCTTGGTAGATCTATATATAAGCAAGATGAATAATGCAGGTATCGTTCCCCTTAATATCTGCACAAAACTGATCAACATGTTGTGTACTTGATGAAAAGTATTCATCAAGTCCCAGGTGCAGGTAGAGGCCTAAACTGTGCCTGATCATTATATCCTTTGAATTGTTTCCTAGATTGAAGGAAGAATTATAGAGGATGTTGAAGCACCACCTCCTCCAAACCCCTCTGGCCAGTGTCCCATCTGTCGCTGGAACCTGAAGCATAAGTATGATTATGTGGTAAGTTAAATGATGGAGAGTTCCCCCATCCTCAGAGCTAGATAAATATTGCTGTCAGACCTACATACTGCACAGTCTGCCCCTCTTGTCTTTTGCTGGGTATAGTAAAGATAGTTAACTCCATCTCTGCTTCTCTTGGGTGTAACAAGAGCTTCCTACATAGTAATTGTTTATCTTGGCTGGTGGTATTCCTGGGGAAAAGCAGGATGGGTTTGTATCAGACAGAAGGTTTGGGATGATACACATGGCCATCTGATCTGAGAAATCTCTCTTGTGCCCAGCTGCCTTTCAGCATTGCACTTCTAGGAGAGTCAAACCAGAATGCAACATCTAGTCAACTGATTGGGGCCTGTTGTAACTCCAGAGAAGCCAGGAGATGTGACTAGATCAATTCTATTGTCTTTAAGCACTACAATTTCTCGTTGTGTCACTGACCAGTAAGGTAGCTACTGTTTTATGTAACTTCTAAAACTCTTGATGGGTATGAAGGGGAGCATATATGTTTACATCCCTTGCAGCAGAAAAAAAAAAAACAGATTTGATTCAAGCTTTCAGTAGGAAATGCTAATGAGAAGTTTATTAACTAATGAGTGGATTACTAGCATTTAGTGTAGAAGATGGGAAGAAAATCCTGTAATGCTTTAAAACAAACGCACAACAGTCAAGAGCACTTTAAAATAAGAAGCAAGAAATAGATGTAGAATGTAAGTCTACAAGAGGTCATTTAAACACAGTCCCTTGTGTAAGCTCTAAGCTTGCAAGCTTTTTGCCCAGTACTGGAATTAGAAAAGAAGAAAATCAGACAGAGACATGCTGTTACTAAGATAAGGCAACAGAAAACTTGGAATAAATTAATGTCAATAGGATTAGGGCAAGAGAGATACAAATGCATCTGATGGAAAAGAAATCTTTGTGAGAAAGAAAATCCATTAATGACAGGAGATGGGGACCAAAAGCCACATTGGCTGCAGAATGATTAAGCTGCTCACTTTCTTCTGTGTGCACGTGTGCTCATGCAGTCCTAGCATGTGCACACAGAAGAAGAATTGTTTTAATACCTAGGTAGCAATGGCAGTCTTGCAAGTGTAAAACAGATAGAAAAAACAGGTACAGAAATAACTTAAGCTTTGAATTAGGTACAGACCAGCAAGCCTGGGTTGCATGTAGCCCCAAGATCTTAATGGAATTAGTTAACAAATACATTACTTTACCTGCAGGGATGAAAAGAATCCTAAGGAATCGCCAAATGGTTTGAAAATAGAAAGTGAAATTCTAAGTAGTTGAGAGAGGAAGGAGAATGAAGTTGATGTTTACCACTTGATAAATCAAACATTGCAATTTCCAAGTAAAATAGTACTAGCTAGGAGTAAAACCAAATAACTTCTTGGATAGGTCTAATTATGACTCACTAATTATGAAGAATGTGAGTACAGCAATAGTGCCAGTTGAAATACTTGCAATTAGTCCAGGCAGGTAAAACAGCAGATGGGACATATACATGAAATATCTGTTTAGTATCTTTCAATGCCTGTGTTGCAGAAATTAAGTTGTTTAGGATCTGAGTGTTGTCAGTGGTTCTGACTTGGTCTGGATGCAATAATATTAAACAGTGAAATTATTTAATTTTGGTTAGGGGAGTTTTTAGTGTTCCCTGGTCTGATTTCTCAGCTATCTAGGAAAGCTGAAAATACAATGAATTTGCAGATGGTTGTAAATAAGGAGAAATGGCAGATGCTGTTAAGGCATGGAAAGTGCTACAAAACCAGATTGGGTTTGTGTGGCCTATGTTTGAATGCAGTGATTTTTTGCAATTCTTTTCTTCACCGTTGCTGAATTGGGTTGTGATGAAAACAGACCAGTCACTCTGGAAAATACTTTATTAATATAGTTTTATTTGTTTTAAATGTGAGGAGACAACAGTATCGTTAAACTGGGTAGTTCTACAGACTTCTGGAAAGCATCCTATGAGTTGCACATTAAGAGCTCCAGAGAAACTATAAACTGATGCTCAGGGATGAAATGAGCCATGGGAGTGGATTAAATCTTGGAAACTAATATATGGACTCACTACTGCTTTTGGTGGTAGAAGACTCTCTTGCACGGATCGAGAGTAGTGCCAGTGAGAACCAAAGAAGCAGTTTTGGACAATGTGATGCTGTAGAGACTGATTTTCAGGATTAGAAGTAGGCTGTTGGTCCCAACAAAGTAAAGCCTGAGTCTTGAGTGTGTTCCCAGAGTGAACTAAGATTACGAGTTTTCTTCCATGCTCCAGTTCAGTTTGAGTCTTAGGTCCTGTTTTCTACTGTTCAGTATGGATGCAAGAGAATACCATATGTGAGGAGGGATAGTGCAGACAGAGTCTTGATAATCATTGCTGAGATTGTTCCTAAGATGTTGTGGTCCTCAAAGACAAACTAGGAACATGTGTGTCCTGGCTGCCATATAGTTAAAGGCATATGCATCTGTTGTATATACATCCAATACTCCTGCTGTAGAACAGAGGAGAACCTGGCCAAAAAGCTAAAGAGGGCAGCATGAACTGGTATTTAGTGTTTAGAAGCATGTCCCTGTGGGGCTGATGGGAACTAGGAGAAATTCCTAGTTCCTGGGTGGAGTAGACCACCTCTTCTGCTTGAAAAAAATCCCTTGTATGTTTGAATGCTTTGTACCAGTCATGGATTTTTAGGCTTTTAAATGTTAAGGTGAACAAAATCTCCCTTTTCTGCACAAAAGCACTCTCTGCTATTCTTCTTTGCTGCAGCAGTGATGAGCAGCAGAATCTTGAAATGCTTAAACAATAAAGCACAGGCATTTAACTGTGTGGATAATTAAATAGTGACACAATTTACTCCCTGGTGGTTAATTGTCCTGCAAGTCTGTAAATTGAGAACAGCTATTTTTGTTAAAGATATATTCCAGTTCATACAGCATAACCTGTGCTTGATAAGAGATGAGAATAGAGGGATCACAGTGGTTCTTTTGAGATTGATAAGCTGAGATCAGTCAGTTGCACAGAAGGGAAAGCGTGAGCATTTTTGCTTGGGAGGCTTGTAATTAGACTGAATGAGGCACTATGAAAAGGGAAGTGTTGAATTAGCCCCTGAGGGAGCTGAGTAATATGACCTCATAGGACTTTCCTTTTGTCATGTGCAACTAGCACAGTCTAAAGTAGTGGCATAATGAGTTACTTTGGCTGTCAGAGAACTGGGGGACTAATGTCTCTGAAGTTATTAATCAACTGAGCAGGCATTGTGAGCACTAGCAGGTCATGATTCCAACCTGCCTCGGCTGTGGTGTGAAGGGCTGCCGTTGTCTTTGCCTGTTCAGTCCGTAGTTGCTGCTGAGGCTCAGGATAACAGAGCCCAAGGTATAAATTCCCACAGCTTGTGGTCTCTGGGTGTCTGTCCATTGAAACTGAGACCTCGGTTGTTTTTTTTTCCCATCCGTTGGACCTAAAAAGTTCTTTTGGTCATTGTCGGGATGCAACTGGATTGAAACCTGAAATCCTGTTACAAAATGCTTGGGGAATGGTGTACAGCTCCAAGGACTAAGGGAGAAGGGAAAAATCAGACTGTTGTATAACTGAAAATAATGACTGATACAGCCCAGTAGTCATTTGGCTACAGAGACTTCTTTGGCGGCTCTTCCTGTAAATGAAGGTTTTAGTGAATCGTGTGTAAGCAGTCCAGGGTCGTGCTTTTCAAAGCATCTGCAGATATTAAAACGCAGAGATGTCTCTGCATTTTGGTTGCCATCCACTCACATGAACGTGCTGTATATCGTGTTTCATTTAGCAAGTTTATCCAGCCCTTTTGGAGGTGAAAGCTGAACTTGTTCTTTGTTTTCCCCCTATCCACTTCAAACATCATTAGTCTGAGTAGGCAGTAAATATGTCCTTTTGCTTTGGCAGCAATTAGGGGAAACCAAGCAGCAAGCTTTGCCTATTAGCCCTAGATTAATTCAATCCAAATTGTTTTCATCAAATGCTGAAGATCACAGGGGTGGGAATCTGGGTCCAGCCTCGTGGGAGCTGTCCAGTGATTAAAGCAAATCCGTGGTTACAGGCTTGGCTGTCCACTAGCACAAAGTATGAATTTATGGAACATGACAGTACCATGAGAACTTGCCAGACATATTTTTTTTTTTCTTTGACCATTCCACATACTTGTTCACTTCCCTCCACAGCTGCCCCATAAAGTTGGCTGTACCTGTCTTGCTTTCTCCCTGTGGTGAGATGCATCTGTCCAAGTACTCTGGGAGAGGCACCTGGCCTGTTAACTGTGGGGTTCTTCAGAAATGGACAAACCTCCTGACAAGTGCGCAGCATTTTAAGCCAGATGGTGTGAGTGTAATTTGGAGCTGCAGCAGCTGGGGATATAGATGATTTCAGTTAAGAAGGGACTGCCACACAAGGGTGTTGGTCAGTCGGTGACACTGTTGGTCAGAGATAATAACAGAATGGATTTTTCTGATTTATTTTTTTTTCCCACAGGGAGAAAAAGAAAGGCTAGCTCCCTTTGCTTCCCACGTCCCCCCTTTGCATGGAAACAGTTGATAACAACCCTGTGACTCCATGAGGCGTGGTGGTAATACGAGAAATCACTTGGACCACACACACCCTTCACAAGAACCTGTGGCCTACTTAGGCTTTCACGGCTGCAAAGACTGGAACAGCCACAAACTTGCCATCAGCTCCCTTTTTCCTCTTCCCCACAGAGTAATGCAGCAGGCTAGTAGAAAAGTCTAAGAAAGTTTTCCTCTTTCTAGACACTTAGAAGTTTGTTTCTTTAGCACAAACATGTTGCTTTCCTTAGAAGCAACATGTTTGTGCTAAATGGCAAATTAAACTGTTGGTGACTTGGAGAACTGGATAGCAAAAGAAAAGGGGGGAAAAAAGGGGATAGGGCTTGCTCTGGTTTCCTGAATCCAATCCAGTGCATTTCAGGAGCAGCTAGAAGTTAGTACCCTTGGAGTGTTTGACTGGCCTCTGTCCAGTTTCCACCAACATAGCTGGCACCAGCTGGTCCCCTGGTTACTGTTCTCCTTGGCAAGGCTGTACGTTAGCTGAGATGAGGACACTTTGCTTCCGTTTTAACCACAAATGGTCTCTCAGGAGCTTGCTGCTAGTTGCTCAGCTGTGCTTTTCTTGTTCTTTGGATACAGCATCACACTGTATGGTGTTTGAGAAGTCATTTTGTGTCAGTGAGAAGTTGCCTAACCTGCCACGTTTTCAAAGGAGCTGGATCTGAAAATCAGTCTGAACACATTCCTTGTAGACAAGTGGCGGCAGAAAGGAAGCCAGATAAGGGAAGAGGGAAACTGTGTTTTGTGGTGATATTAGTGAGGGTGGAATTGAAGGTGGGGAGCAAGAAGGACAAAAACAAACCACAAAAACCCCAAACAAACAAACCTCTAAATTTTGACTGCAGCACTTACATGATAGCATTTGTCAGAATTGATCATTCTGGTTGGAAAGCTGTATTGAGTTCTAGCAGGCCCCTTTAGAGCTGAGCTGCTCTTGTGCAGTGGGGGTGGATGTATAATTCCTAGATAGCTAGGTTTTCCAAACATTTATTTTATATCCACTTGTGATTGTTTGCTTTTGCAAGGCCAGTAAACGAAGCTAGGAATGCTTCAGGGAGCTCTTTGGAAAAGAGCAAAGATGGAGAGTGGGAGCAGGTCTGTGAAAAACAGGCAGAGTCAGGGTCACCTGATGTGAAAACCAGCAAGTACTCTTTGTTCCTGCCTGCTGCCCTAGACAGCGTGGTGTAAAGTGGTAAGGTACCTGGTTTGAAGTCTCGTTCCATCGGAGTGCTCACTGGTGGGTCTCTACCAGCCTGCAGGCAACCTCCACACTGTCCAGCTACCTCAGCTATGAACATGTTTACAACAGCAATGGAGAAATAATCTCTCAACCAGCAACAAGTGTCAGCAGATGGGGGGGAAAAAACAAGCACAGTCTCCAGAGGCCCTTTGGGCCAACTTAGCCTGACGTCAGCGTGTCAGGGAGACCTGCCTATATTGGCCTGAGGGGCACATTCACTCTGGTGCTGTGTGTGGATATGGAGAGCACATGTCTAAGTACTGGGCTGTTGTACTGTGTACAGTTGATGGGACACTCGTGCAACAGCTGCTGCTGCTGTGTTTAAAAGTTTGTTATCCCAGACCCGTGATACTATCTCATCCTGGAGATCCTTTTAATTTTGTTTTTATTAAGAGTGCTTTACATTTCTAGAGCTCTTAATTGTAAAGGTCAACAGCAGTGTAATCTAAATGATGCTTGAATCACAGACAAACCCTCAGCATGCTCCAAGTGCTCCTTCCATCCAGCATGGCTATACAGCCCCACCTAATGCACGCAAAGGACCGAAGGCAGCGATTTATACTATTGGGTCTTTCTCATCAGCACACGTTCTTTTCTGACAAAAAGCCTCTTCATGCAAGACCTTGGACCATTTCCCTGCTCTCCACCCCTCCAGAGGGACATGAGGGGAGTTCCACCATGGGAAACTGGACAAAAGTTTGAGGACTAGATAGCAGAGAACAATCCTGCTCTGAGGGAACAAGGAGGGGCTAGAGGTGATCTAACATGTCTGTGACCTTTAGGATAGCAGCTGTGATGGCATTTCAAGTTGTATAAACACTGTCCATCTGCAGGTCTTGTGTAACCATGCCTGAGTACCTAGGACACAATATCTTAGCTAGAATCTTGGAGCAAGTGACAGCGAAGTAGCAGGGATTGCAGCTGACATCACATATTTACGCTAGTGAAGTCAGGGGAAGACTCGGACCATCTGAGTGACCTTACTGAGCTAAGCTGGCAGGCAGAGGGATAGCAAGCAAAAGCCACTTGTTGTCGAGCTGCAGCCAAAATGCGTAAGAAGAAATCATTGTTTTGTTTTGCTTTGTTCTGCATTCTGTACACAGCACGAGAGTCATCACGACACCTCAGAGCCCCAGCAGTTAAAGTAGCTGTAGCAGTGATGCTTTTGCCCTTCTCTTGCTCCCTCAGGATGTCTTGCTGCTGAGTCAGTTTATCCGTTCTGATGGAGGGATGCTGCCACGAAGGGTCACAGGCCTCTGTTTGGAGGAGCACAAGAAGATTGCTGTCTGCGTGCAGATGGCTCACCGTGCAGGTACCTAGCCTCCTCCTGAGACAACCCTGTCCTGTGGGGTACCCACAGAACCCCTTGAGAGAGGGGGTCTCCCACCCACTTAGTGTAGCCCAGTGAGATGTCATTGTCCAATCACGCAGGAAGTCATCGTGGCCCAAGTGCTGGGACAAGATGATGAACCAGAGACTACCTGTTCTGCTTTCTGCCTCCTGGCTTCTGCCTTGGCAGCAGACATTTATCCCTGAAGATGACAAGGTCTGGGAAGTGGCTCAGTCTCTAGTAACTGATGATTAAATACCAGCTTCTGAAATTACTTAGTTTAGTGTAAGCTTGATCTACTCCCTTAATAACATGTACCTGCCTGCCATCTGCCATGTGGGGACTTTTTTTTTGCCTTACCCTGAGAGTAGGACCCAGGTTGAAACAGTCAGAGTATTGTGCTGGTCTTTATGCTTGGTACCTGAGTTATATTCAGGTTAAATGGACTCACAATTTTAATAGTCAGATTTTTCATCCTGGAAATGGAATCTGATTGGACACTAGTGTCCTGTGTCCTCTTAAAAAGCCTCTTTGATGAGCCCAAGTGGCTGTGTCTTTGGGTATGTCCTCTCTGTACCCAGCAGAACCTCCTAGCTTCTCTGTGGCTGGGGTGCAGGTTCAGCAATGACTAAAGATAAAATCCCTTTTGTATTGTACTTGAGTTCCTGCTGTGCTGTCCCTGTAGGGACCTGGGTTGCCTGGCTTATGAGGTGCAGTGTGACTTCTGGATGCTGTAGAGGCAAGGAGGCACTGCAGAATATTCTCACACCTTTCTTTTTCTGTTTCAGGTTTGTTGCCAAACCACAGGCCTCCACTTCCTGAAGGGCATGTTCCCAAGAAACCCAAGCTCAACAGGTGAATAGTCTTGTCTTTCCACATCTGTTTTTTTCAGAAATAGATTGGGAGGGGAAAAGCAGTTCCTTATAACTGGGTAAACCATGCCTCAGGCAACAGAGCTCGTAAAAAGTACTCATAGCATTTCACAGAAGGTCTGTCAGAATATTCTCTTGTCAGTCTTTTAAGGACAAACCACATCTCATTCAAACAATTAACCCACAGAGGATTAAAGCTGCCACACATGTTAGAGTCTGCCCTCCCATCCTCGGCTGCACTCGCCTCCTCATCACTAACACTCAGTAGGGCAGTCACAGCACCACAGAGTAGTTGAGATTGGAAGGGGCCTCTGAAGAGCACTTAGTCCACAACCAAGCATGGTCACCTAGAGCAGGTTACTCAGGACCTTGTCCACTCAGGTTTTGAGTATCTCCAAGGATAGACCTTCCACAGTTTCCTTGGGCAGCATTTTCCAGAGAACCACCCTCATAGTGACACAATGTTTTCTTATGTTTCTGAGTTCAGACATAATTCCTTGTTTCAATTTGTGTCCATTGCCTCCTGTCCTGTCACCAGGCTCTATTAGGAAGAGCCTGGCCTCATCTTCTTTACACCCTCCCTTTAGGTATTTATAAACACTGGTAAGACCCCCCTGAGCCTTCTTTTCTTTTTTCATTGTGGGGCTGAGCAGTGAGCAGGGGCCCATCACCAGGCTGTTCCCTCTGCTCCATCCCCATTTCCCCCAGTCAGAGATTCACCCTCTGCCTGCCCTGCCCAGGCAACGGGATCTCTTCCCCCTCTCCAGACTGGATGGCCCCTGGCTTTGGTGGGCAAAGAGACAGCCTGTGGCCTGCATCCTGTGCTGTGCTGGGCGCTTGGAGGTGCTAATCCCCTGTTTATGACCTCACACTCTGTTTCCATGGGAATGTCAGAGCGGTTTATGAACCTCACATTAGCAAGCCCTGGGGTTACCAGAGGCCATGGGGCTGTTGCTGGGAGAGCTTAGGCTGCAGGGCTGAGGATGGCTGGAGACTCCTGCATTCCAGGTCTGACTCAGCAGTGGAGATTTAAGGCAAGCTCTTTGAAAAGTTCCTTGTATAATGGCAGGATGCACACTGGGTATCAGTGAGGATCAAATTAGGCGAGTCTACATTTGATGCAGCCCTGTAGCCATCACATACTCCATCTCTGAAAACTTCTTCCCTGTGTCTTACGAGTCTTTGGGATTCTTTAGTAGCTGTGCCTACCTAGCAGCTGTGGGGTGGAGCACATTATCTAGTTAGCATTCACATAGCAACCCTGCATGGCAGGTTGAGACAGGAAATGCTAAATCCTGCATCTTGCTGGAATCACCACACCAGGACTCCAGATCTGATGCCTGACTCTTATCAATTGTTCCACAGACTTTTAGTGAGAATAGAGAATGGATACCTCTGGAAATCCATATTTTAGAGGTGCAGCACATCTACACCTCTAAAATGAAGATATTTAATTTTGAGATTAGTATCCAAGCCCTTGCTATTGCATTGCTAGTCT